ATATTCAAAATGTTTAACTGGTCTAAAATTTCTTTCTCAGTGATGACGAATTTGTTTAAATGACATGGAGGAGGCTCGTTATTATCAGGAATTTCTGGTTCCGTATCAATATTGGCTATATTAACGAAATGATTGTTCAGGATCTCTGATTTGTCCAATGGATGAATAAAAATTTGGCCATCATGTTCTAAAAAAGGGGGTGAATCTCTGTTTTTTGTAAAATTTGACACGGACTTGGCAATACGCCACCATTTACCAGGAGGAATATTTTTATCAATAAGTTGTGATGTTAGTTTGCACTTATAGTCATCTTTTGCCTTTCTAACTAAACTGATAATTTCATTACGAATTTCTCTAAATTTTTTCCAGTGATCTGGACTATTTAAATTTTTTGCTTTATGGTGAATTCTATTACGATGTCTTATCTTGTTTATAATTGAGTTGTTTATGAATGGTTTATCATTTGGTCGTACTGTAATAGTTTTAGTAGGTATATATCTATTGACAGTACTTTCAAATGTTTTGACAAAGATCATATAAACATCATTTATTTATTATTTGAGTTAAAAACTACATCATCCCAGTCAGTTTCGATCAACTGGTTTTTAAGACCCTCATAATATGCACGTTTAAAATCTCGAATTTGTCTTTTAAACGAGTGTTGTTTAAAAGTTTTAAATGAAAATTCAACTGAAACAGGAGAGTGAGAACTGCATATCGGAGCAAGAACAGTTACTGATTTAATCAAGTTTTTACGATTTGTCACACATAAATCAATACAAGTTCCAGTTAGGGTTGTAAAGTTGGTAGACTCCCAAACAACATTTTCTAAATTTAAACGGTCAATTAACTTTTTAAAAGAGTTTCTTGTGTTTGACAACATATCGCAATTAAAATCACCACAAAGGAAAAGTGGCAAATTACAATCAAGTGCTTTATCTACTGACTCACTAAATAAGTCCCATATATGAGAATTTGAGTTTGAAGGCCGGTATAATACACCAACTAAAAAATTTTCATTGCTGCAATTCCTCACTTCAACCCAAAGTAATTCAAGATTGCTTACGGATAGTTCATTCCGTATAATAAAATAAAATAAAATATAACAAAAATGGTCACACCTCTACCATGTCTTTTTCTATCTAACCTTATAGATTTATGAAACCCATTTTATTTAATTTGGTCATCATAAATTGACTTGTCGAGATGAGATTCTGATATACAAATAATGTCATACTCATGTAGTTCATTGTTAATGAGGTCTAACTTAGGAAGTAAACTGCAGACATTATTGTGTACTATTTTCAAATTCTTTTTTTTACTCTGATGGACCTGGATTTTGCTCAATTCCTGCGATCAGTAAAAAAAAACTGTATTATACTACTGAGGATAAAAGCATTTTTTATGATTATAGGGAGCATTATGTTGTGATTAACATAGTTTACAAATTTACAGATTAAAGTTAAAAACATTGATTAGTCAAAACTATCGAAACTAATAATGAATATATACTCAGACATAAGCACATGATGTACACTTTGGACAGACCATTGAAACACAGACCAAAAGCTGACATTGATTGACAGGACACTCAAAACTAGACGAGAGAAAGTACAAAACAAAACATACATAACATTTATACAAGAGGAAAACATGGACAAATAACAGATGTAAACAGTATAAATTAACAATTGTCTTGGTGATACTGTAGTTGTATAGAAAAAAAAGGAGTAAGATCTATGTTCATGCAATAACCTATGTTTAAGAGTTACACAGATGTGGGGTAATGTTTGCAAAGTAAAATGTAAAATAAAAAAACAACAAACAAACAAACATATATAAGCAAAAGTAGGATAACACTTAGCCTGAATTTTAAGACTAAAATCGAATACTACGGAATGAAATTGACTAGACTTACATCTTTTTCATATGCGTGACGGATTTGTAAACTTGACATAAGTTTCAATTTACGAGTGCAGAAGTGAGAAACACGTTTTAATTGTTTATTTTTTAGATTTTGGAAATTGTATATGTCGCAAGACAATTTTAGGTATCATCTGGTAATAGTGAAACCATTCGTTAGTTGTTTGTGTGTAAATATCATGTGTGAAAACGTATTACCTATGGATGTAAATAATAACATGTGTATGCTTACAATCCACAATCAAATATCTGAAAAAGATATGTGGCAAATATGACATCGTAGATTTAGAACAGTATCTTGAAAAGCCGTAAACAAAAATTGAATGAAAGAGGTTTATAACCAAAAATATTCATAAGTACTGGGAGGGTGCCATTAAGACCAAAATGAAGGGGTACTCAACACTAAGATGTCTTAAAGGTGAATATGATATTGGCAGAATCCATCCTTAACTTAAAACAACAAGCGCAAATATAACTGAGATAAAGAAATTGTCCATTTGTTCTAAATTAGTCACTGGAACCTACATACTTCAATCTAAATAAAGCGGAATATTCAAATTATGTAACAAATCCGATGTGTAGACTCTGTAATAATGCTGATGAAACATTTTATCTTACTGTGTGAAACAACGTCACAAATAAGAACATCTCTTATTGGCAAAATACTACATGAAGGTAGTCTGGTTTTAGCAAGAGAAAGCCTGCAAACTCCTATTGACTTAATAACTTTAATATTAAACCCGTATTATTACATTTCAAAGAAATATACAAGGATGTTGAAGACCGGGTCGGTAATCACTTGGTACCGCTATGTCGCCAACTATTGTAATTCACTTCAATCCAAGCGCTATGCTGTGTTGGCAAAAATTGTAGGAAACGTACATTTTCCGGAAAATATTACAAGATAAAAATAGTGATGTGGTATGATATTGCCAAGGAGACAACTTTCAACCCAAGGTTCAAACTTGTGTTATCGATAATTAATATAGATAAATGAACAGAAATTATATAAAAAGACATATGGTACTTGAAAATATCAAACAAATATGGAAAGCACGTTACTGAAGTCAATTTACACACATAGTTTATTTTTTAAGTTTTTTAGCTATGTCATCAAATATTTCGAACCGATGTCTGGTTCCTTCCTCGTCTGATCCATATACATGACCATTAAATACCACGAACTCACAATATTGTCATGTTGGTACAGTCTATTTAAGAGACCCTAGTTGAGTTTTGTAATATCATCACCAATTTTAACTTTAAGTGCTTCGTTTATACTCTTCTTTTTACGCAGGAGTGTAATTTTGGTATCCATTCGAAGAAATTTGATGAGATTTGGCCTTGGGCTCCCTTCTTTCCCTGGTATTCTGTGCATTGCAACAATTTCAAACGGATTGATGTCTAATTTAACTTTGTTTTTAGTTCGTTAAGAATAGAATGTGGTAGCTCCTCATTTCGATTTTCTGGTAATTGGTATATTTTCACTTTTTTTTTTTTGCGTGAGTATTGTTCGTTCCAGTTACCGAAATCGAACACTTTCAGTAGCTTTCTTGTTATTTTCATCAACGATGTCCCGCATTTTACGAAGATCAGAGTGTAGACTAGCATTTTTTTCTAGAAGATTTCCGTTTTCAAACTCAATGGTGTTTAATTTGTCATGTAGATGCGATATTTTGGAATCGTATTGGGTTTTTAGTTTGACTTCAGACATTATCTCTTTCGTAATTTGCTTTTTGAGGTTTTCAGATAATTGTTTAAATATCTCGGTGAAAATCTCTGTTAGGTCCGATTTTTTCGGTACATTTTTCAGGGACTGCTTAATTTCGTCAAGTTCATTTTCTATACAAAAACTATGGTCCGAACAACTGGAGAGACAAGAGTGGAGACGTTTGGCTGGATTTGAGATATTTTGTTTATCACCAGTTTTCTCTGTAAATGTTGATTCCTCGACATTACTTGTATTTTTGGCTGATAGTTTGTCGACTTTAGCAGTAGAAATAAAACTGGTTATTTGTTGTTGTTGTTGAGACATAATTGATGAGGCGATTTAAACTATGTCTGTGATATTTAAAAAACGTGGTTGATCTTGCGTGTTCCATATATAGCCCCCGTCGTGTTTCTCATGGTACGTAAACATTAGGTGATGAGTCTCATTCGGTGATGTAGCAATCGAATAAAAAAGAACTGGATTGTGGCTACGATAATTGGAACAAATTCTCAAATTGCCTATATTATGAAAAATTATTATTGTTTACAGAGAATATCTTTTCAAATGAAGTCTTGTCTCTTTGACATATTCCCCATTTCCATTCTCAATTTTATATTGTATAGTTAAAAATACCTACCAAGCGGTGTTTTGTTTGGCCTTATAAAGCTTTGTCATAATTTGGGATTAATAGCAATTAAATTTATTGATTGATTTATGATTGCCTAACTTATAGTGGCAAATAGTTAATGCATATTCAGGACGAGAACAAATCCACGAAAAAATCGTTTGATCGGGATAAAGGGCGGGAAAATGAGATTACATTCGATACCTGAAATGACATTTTTGTTAAGGACAGAAAGTTTGCTTTTTTAAACAAAATACCTGAATGAGCTCTTTGAAGGGTTTTAAACTGTATAGAGCGTGGTTCTCTCCCAACACCAGGCTTTAGGTATAATGTCAGGAAATGAATTTATGCATCCAGTACAGATAAGCGGTTGCCTCTTTGCCGTGGGATTAACTGTCGGGTGGAAGTCCAGTTGACCATATTTCTATTTGTGGTTAGAAATATTTTGAAGTATTTTTTTTCCACTTATAAATCATGTATTACTATGTAGCAAAATATCACCTGTGGATCAAACTTTATTATATAGCTGCAAAATAATCCCCTAAAACCATGTGCTAGGGCCATTTCGACTTTTACTGAGGTGTAAGCATTTGCCCGATTTGGATTACTCACAGACACTGTGACTTTGAGATTTTAGAATAACAGTAATAAAAGCGGTTTTTTTTTTTTTTTTGCTTAAGGTGCTCAGATTTTGTGATGCATTAATATTGTAACACCATATTATTTCTATTCTGTGAACAGATCAATATCAACATGGTGAGCATGGAATAAATCCTGCAGCAATAATTGTTCCTGTATTGCTCATCTTATTATTGTCTGTATCTACAGTTTTTTGGATTCGGTAAGTATAATGCTATGAGTGTGGAAGACAAATATCCAGTATAAAAAATATACAAGTAAAAACATCTTTAACAATGACATTTCAGAATGTTTTCTCTGGTGTCCTGCTAACAACAAAGTAAAAACTCATTCTATGGTCTTGGGGAAAGATATTTTTCGTACAGATTTTCTTTCGAAACATGATGTTTCAATGTCTCGTCAAACGTTGCTTTCCAATTTGCAAAATAAGTCAAATTACCGTCTTCTTCTGAGAGTTCCTCGTTACCCTGAATGCAATGATTCATTTACCAAGAGTAATATTGAAATCAGTTATAGATATTAAAGCCACTTGATTTCGTTCAATCTTTTCTTGATGTGCTTTACTCAGACTTTGAGTGACAGAAGTTTTTTCCAGATTCGAAACCGATATGAAAATGTTTTAGATATCTACGCTTTGGAAATCGATTTTAAAACGGCTCTCGTGTATAGTTTTTCCAGTCGCAGAATGGCACATAAATTCAAGGTCCTGCAACGCGTCAGATAGAACATGGAAAGCAACACCTAATTCACAAACAACTCTATCATCAGACACTGAATAACAGCAAGGGAAATGTATCTTCTCATATTCTAAATTGGCGATCATATTAGGTCTTTGATATATAAAGACATAGGCAGTTTTTTGTCGGGATAAAGAATATTCCGACATTCTTCAACAGAAGGATTCTTACAACACAAGTTTGCAGAGTCTCTCATTTTTTTTTCTATTTATCCACTGCATGCGCTTCTTGTAAACACTTGAATTGGTCCTGCTACTAGTGCTGATGTTAATATAATACACGAAGTAACTTCAGTCGAACTACTTGTTTCAACATTGTGGTCACATCATGTTTTGGGGCGAAGTAAACATCTATTTATTGTTGCTTACCATAACATGCCTTTTGACGTTTCGACCTAAGAGGGAAAAAAATTCCCGTAACTGAGTAACAACTTCATAAGACACATCTAAAGTTATCAAAAAGGGTGGGCAAGCAATACTTTCAAATAATTTTATTATTAAAAGCTTTGTATTTTGAAGTAAACTAGCTGTTGTCCTTATATAAGTTAAGTCATATCGCTCTTTTCTTTACAAATTCAACTGGCAACATGCATTACTTGTATATTCAATCATTCAAAACCCATCTTATCAGGTCTGCTGCTTTTGTTAAAATTACCAATTACTATGGTATCATATTGACACAAAAAAACAGAACCTGTGGGAATTTTATTGATCAAAGCTAAGCGCAAATATCGACTAATTGAACAATAAGGCATTAAAGGGTGTTGGCGCCTTCAAACTAGTTTAACCCCTGCACATTTTGTATGTGCCTGTCCCAAGTCAGGAACCTGTAATTCAGTGGTTGTCGTTTGTTGCTGTGTTACATATTTGTTTTTCGATCATTATTTTGTTCATAAATTAGGCCGTTAGTTTTCTCGTTTGAATTGCTTTACATTTGTCATTTCAGGGCCTTTTATAGCTGACTATGCGATATGGGCTTTGCTCATTGTTGAATGCCGTACGGTGACCTATATTTGTAATTTCTGTGTCATTTGGTCTATTGTGGAGAGTTGTCTCATTGGCAATCATACCACATCTTTCTTTTTATAATTATTATAGACAGCAACCAACCATTATATTGGCTATCAAAAACTGATGATCTAAACTCAGTAATGTTCAATTAATTATCTGTTCTTTTTTATATTTCAAAGTAGCATAAGATAGGTTGGAATTAATGCAATAAACTTCATTATAACAAGACTTTCGTCTACATAAAAAAAATGATATGATTGAAAATTAGGCTTAAATTGTGTTGTCGTCTCATTACATAAGAAATTGTGTGTTCGAAATTCGCATTGGGTAAAACAAAAGAGAAATAATATCATGTTTTTCAGGCTTTACAAGAAATTTGTCTTGCAGCATGGAGAAAATGAGAGAACAAGACAATTTGAAGGTACTAAATTATATCCAGAAATCTTTCTAGTTTATTAAGTTATCCAATGTTTTAATAGAATAAGGTATGATTAAAGCTATTATTTGCAAACATGGTTATTACAAGTTATTCAATTCTTTTAAAATTATGTTAATTTAACTGGATAACCGAAAGGGTGACATAGTCTGCTCAGTGCTCACTATATTTAAAAAAAGTCAGTCGTTATGGCGTCATAAACGTGTTGAAATGGACGAATTTTAAAACAAGAAGACTATTTTACATGGCGTTGTCCGTTTCTCTTCAACATGTCCCCCTTTGGTATTGTAGTATTGGTAGGGTTAGTTTTACGTCATCGGATAGACCATCTAGAGATGTCCGAAGAACTACCCAGCTGGTGGTTGTCTCCAACAATGCCCTGAGGGTATCCCCCGTCCTAAAAGTCAGCAGCCCCATTGCCACCTCTGCAATATACTGGGGATGCCCATAGCCATTATTGGGTACCCATGGAGGCCTAAAATATGGGGCATCACTCTCCAGTAGAATATTTGTGAGGGGGAGGGACGACACTACCTGCCCCTGTTCCTGGTCGAACCTGTGGACCTCGGCCGTGAACCCAAAATACATGTTTGGGAATGCATCCCTCCACCTCCTAGCCTCCTGGATCCCCCCATCAAAACAATGGAGGTGGATCCTCTGCTGCCGGGCCACCCGCTCCCGGACAGTGGTGAGGAACTTAAGATGCGCCTCAGCACTATGGCGGTCCTCAGGAGCCCCTCTGACGTGTAGGATTAGGGGAACCTCTGGCCTGCCCTTGCATAGGTTCAGGACCAACCTTATCGTGCTCAATTGTCTTTGAAGAGGCGGGTCCCGCTGGCTTAGGTCCAGCCCGACCTCCCCAATCGCCCCTACCCCAGGTGACCCAACCAGCTGCTCCATATGGCCAAACGAACTATCATCGAGCTGTTGGGCCCTTTTGGGGTGGACACCAATGGCAGTTACCCAGGGTGATCCTCTTTGTGGGTCCCTCAAAGTCCTGACAACTGGCCAGGTTCCAGGGTCACATTGGACCATGACTCCTCCCACCAGATCGACTGGGTGTCTAGGGGAGTGGTAAGGCGCATCTCGATGAACCGTCGCCGGTCCATCCTCCCTGCCATCCTCCACTGCCTCCACCCCCGGTCAAGATGGAAGTGCGTGTCAAATGCATTTGGTGGGGGGGGGGGGGGGGGGCCAGCTGTGAATGGCCTGTCCACCTGTATCGTCTTCCCTGGAGGGGAGTCTGAGGGGAACCTCAGAGGATCTATTCCCCCCTCCGCCTGCCCTTTCTGGCCTGCTGGCGACCCCATTGCTGCCCTGGGTCCCTGCAATCTGAACATTCCCCTGAAGGCCTCTGCCCTGTCGCCCAGCTCTCCCATAATGACGGCTTGGACACTCCAGTCAATGAGGGCCCCAGGGGAATTGACTAGTGCTGTTGAGAAATAGGGGGAACTGGCAGCCCCCCCTCTACACACACTTCCTTCATTTGTCCGTGGACAGCCTGCATGATGGTGTGGGACTGAGTAATTCCCAGCTGATTGATGTGGACCACCAACTCCTCCAGATCACCGCCTACTAGCATCCAGGCCTGGGCCTGTAATGCTGCCATCCTGATCGGGGCGAGGGACACCCTTGGTGACCCTGTGGGTTCCCCAAAAAAATCAGCCACATGTTCCAACACCACATGTGGCTGAATGTCCAAAGCTCTTATTGGGCAACCCTGGATTGGACAAGTCTGCAACTTGGGGAGGTTGCTCTCCCCACCCAAATCCCTCCGTGGAGTCTCCGTCCTAGGCTGCCTCAAGCTGGTGTATTGGGGTGTCCTCTGCTCGGGCACCCCAGTCTCTTTTCTCCTTGCACCATATTGGGGGGTCGCCTGCTTGACCACCCCCACCTGACTTCTTCTTTCCGGCTGAGGGACCCGCTGCTCCTGTGCCCGTCTGAGGGCCCTTTCCAGTCTAGCAGTCTCCTCCCTTTGACGATCTGCCTGCTTCTGTCTTCTTCTTTTTCTTTCCTTGGTCGTCTCTTTCCTTCCAAAACCCCTACCCAGTGGAGGCGCGCTGTGAACATCCCTGTCGGCTTGGATGCCCACTGGGGTGCCCCTGGCCATCGGGACAGCGTCCCCTGGGGTGTTCCTAGGATCGGAACATCGGCCCCTTCCTCCACTGGGGTCCCTAACGGATCCCTCCCTAGTGCTTGATCGGGCCCTACCCCGAGAGTTAGGGCTCCCATCCCTGGGGCTCCAGCCAACTGCCCCTGAACCCCATACCTCGCTCACCCCTGTAGACTCTGTGGATGGGTTCTTGTTATCCCCAGATGTGGCTTTCCCTGGGACCTCCGATGTGACTCTGGATTCCCCTTCCTGACCCTTTTGACTCTCACCCGGGTCCAGGGTACTATCGTCCCAAGGGGGTACCCTCACCTTTCTTTTCCTCTGCAGCCCAACTCCTCTTTGGGCTGCCTTCACCACTGTCCTCGTCACTGGACATTACTGGTACTCCCTGCAAATACAGAAATAGAACATGTTGAAGGCCAAACCTACTGACATCCGGCCCCGTCATTTCACATAACAGTTATCTAACTAAATAATCCTGAACAGTAACTAGTTGCCTCCATATGTTCAATAGCAACCCCCCTAATTATATACAATAACTAAATGCCTCTCTATGTACAACAGCTCTCGATATGGCACTCTATTCTGAACCCTTCCTACAGGCTGACCTCCGCAGTCCAGTAGGGTTCAGACTAGCTTGTGGGGGGTCCAGCTTACTTTGTGGGACCTTACAACCAGAGCAGATATAGTCCTGATTCTCCCACTCCTCCGCCTCCTGTGGAGAAATTCCCACACACCTGCCATGGAACCACTCACTGCACCTGTCACAGGAGATCATAAACTCTCCGGTATAAGGTCCTTGACAAGTGCAGTACAGTGCCCCAGTATTCCCCGTTGAAGCACCTGTTCCCCCACTCTTGGCTGATTGCAGGGCGGGGAGCATAGGGTCTACCCGTACAGGATTTTGATCACTAGTTTGAGAAGGGGTTACAGTGTCATTAAGGTGCTCTGCTTGGGCCATCCCTCCATTTTGTAGCTCGACTATTGCCCGGTTAACCCATGCCGGTAGCTCTCTATCCTTGCACAGCTTTAGACGATCATGATTGACTGTGGTGAGTGCTTTTTTCATTTTTACCTTATACAGGTAAGGGGAGATCCTTTCTAGGATGACCCCGGGTCCCCTCCACATAGGGCTTAGCTTCTTACACTTCCCTGGCACTGAAGCCGTGTCTAACTTGTACACCACATCCCCCTTATTGTATTGATGGGCTACTACTCGGAGGTCGTATGCCCTTTTTGACCTTAGCTGGGCTGTCTTCAAGTTAGCCCGTGCGACCTCATGAGCTGACCGTATAGCCTCCTCCAAGCCACTTTCATACCCCTGTAGGTCTCGGGGTTCCCCATGAAGAGGGGGTCTGAACATCAATTCTGCAGGAAGATTGACCTCCCTGCCCAACATGAGCCTATTGGCTATGAACCCTGTTGACCTGTTCACTGAAGCCCTAACTGCAAGAGCTAATTGGGATTTATGTAGGTCCCATGTTTTCTGGTTCGTCCCTACAAAACACCTGACTGAGGCGAGTAGGGTACGATTGAACCTCTCCACTTGGCCATTTGCGGAGGGACGGTATGGGGTGGTTCTGATTTTATGTATGTGGAGTAATTCGTTTACAGATTGGAATAGCTGACTTCCGAAATTGCGACCCTGATCTGTAAATATTTCATAGGGATACCCAAATCTGCAGAAGAACTCGTTAAACGCCGCCCTAGCAGTCACCTCGGCAGTTTGTGATGGGAGTGGGATACATTCAACCCATTTACTAAACTGATCCACTATCATGAGTAGGTGCTCATTTGCTCTATCAAACTTGGGTAGGGGGCCCACAAAGTCCAAATGGACTCTTTCCATAAGGGCATAAGGCACCTGGCCGTTCCGATTGTTTTTTTTTGCTCTGGTTACACGCTGTGCATCCTGCAACATACCCCTCAATATCTGTTCTCAAACCATGCCAATGATAGAACTGTTTTACCCTTTCCCTGGTCCGGTCTATGCCCTGAAGACCTGCAGAGGGAATGTCATGACGCAGTTCCATGATTTCCTCCCTCCACTCCCGGGGCACCAGTAACCTATTCTCATCCCCTTCCTTTGCATGGTACATTACTAGTCCCCTTTCATCCTTACTGAACCTCTCCCGGCCTGTCCAATAAAACTTGGCATGGGGGCTACTCCGGAATAACTCCCCTTCAGCTGGCTGATAGTCATTGTCATCCAACCAGTTTAATAGCCACTCGAAATCCGGGTCCCTGCCTTGCCCTTCACGTAATTGGTCAACAGAGTACTTGCCTAGTACTACCCCAAGCCCTTCCTGCACAACCCGGATCGAACAGTCTGGGTTGTCAGGGACTATTACCACATCGCTACCTACAGTGGCCAATGTCACCCTGGATATACAAATGCCACCATCAGCAGAACTTTGGCCAGCGACCAGTATTTCATTTACAGATCTACCCTCTACACCTGTACCTTTTGAAGCTAATGGGACCACATCATCCACATCAGTCATGAATTTTGACCACTGTGCTTGAGCCCTTGCACAATAGGGACAACCCCACAGGGGTTGGACATTTCTTTACATCCTCTATGTAGCCTGGGCCAATACTCATACCCTTCCTACTTACAACTCTGCCCAGGAATTCTACCTGCTCTTGAAACAGTTCACATTTCTTGGGTTTGAGCTTTAGGCCGTACTCCCGGAAGCGCTGTAGGACAGCCCTCAAGTTGCCCAAATGAGAGGCTACATCTTTCCCCAGGACTAAAATGTCATCTAGGAAGGCCAACACTATGTCCCAAGTTAACCCCCTCAGAACTAAGTTTATGACCCTAGCATAGGTAGCTGGGGCATTACAAAGCCCGAATGCCATCCTGGCGAAC